AATCCGTCATGAAAGCATGCGCATTTGATGCTTATTCCCAATTTTAGTTAAACTCGATTAGAACGCAAAACCACGTATTTAATCCCTTATCTAGATTAGCAACAGATGTTGAACAATGACAATGAAAAACGATCGGGTAGTAGTAGTGGAAGAAGATTCTTATAAACACGGATCTTCATTATTTGTTTTTCTCGTGATACATTACATGACATTTGTGGGTATGTAAATCACCACCTTACAAAGGTTGGTACTGAAAACGTTTTATGTTTGTAGCACAGATGAAAACGCCTAGAAATAAAGTTACAAACGTGTTGATCTAATTATATATTTACTTGCCTTTATGAGACGCTATTTTGTCTTTCACAAATTGTGTTCCTACTCTTTTACCTCATTTTCTGTTTCGTCCGGCCACCAAGTTATCGCACTCTACTCGGAAATTCGTCCAATTGACTCTATCATTTCTACCACTTTTTCGGGGGAAACAGTGTTCAAGCGAATTTATCAATGTCGGATGGCATAGCATTACTCACCTTTAACGTGGTAGTCGGAATCTTTAATATGTGCCAGGCCCTTATCAGTATCTACAAAATTTTCAGAAGACGGACGCCTGTTTTGACTGATATTGGTCAAAGAAATATTAAGCATATTGATGAAGAAACCAACATTGAACCAAGTTTGACTGTAAACGCGGTACAGAATGTTGATAATAAAAATAGTTTAAACGATGATGTTGTGCTAACTATTGGTACTATGGACGAGACGTATGTATTGACTTCGCTGATTATTCATATTAATCCACTTGTTTTGTTAAATTTGTATTTTAATTACAGTCTTGAAAGCGCCCCTTAAAAGGATTTAAACACAACAGGAGTTCAAGATTCGTTTCCTTCGGCTGTTTCAAGTTTATCAATAAGGCTTAAGAATATAGTTTAATGTGTTTTATTATTTAGAGATTTATGTTATTGTTCTATGTTACGGCTTGCGTGTGCACGCCGATATTAAGATGTATATTTATGGTTTTTTTACTAACATAACCTTTAGAGAGAGAATGTATTGATTGTCATTAAACACCTTGAATACATAATCGTTTGGATGGCTTTCCGGGTCTTTTCATGTCTGCTATAGTCAGAATTGTCGTTTGTTAGTGTCATTTACCATCTTGAGAACAACTTCACTAGGTACGTTCATAACCAGCCATCTGAGCATCTGTCAGCTGTAGTGTCAATTGATTTTGCATAATAATTTGAAATCCAATTAGAGCTAAACCCCGTGCGAACGATGGTGTTGTTACACCGTGTACCAGAACGTTGAACGCTTTTTGCGTTTATATCATTATATTTGTTTACGAGTTACTTCGTCGGATTTCAGCTTAAAACAAGTCACTCTCTTGGGCGCTATAACTGAAATAGGCTTGGCTTCAGAAGTCTCGGGCCATAAAAAGTATTTGACGAAGTCATAAAAACATCCGCAATGGATTTTGTCTTATTAAATAAGTTGGAGAACTGGAACCGATAAACCAGTACTTATTTGTTTGGTCAACATAAGCCCATAAATTTATGCGAAAAAGACCTTCTCTGACATATGCAATCGGTTTATGTTTATCGTTTATTGTACAATTGATTTGATCATTACATCGATAATGATTGTGATATCCGCTGAGGTACCAAAACAAAAAGGGGTACAAATCTCCAAGGAAATTGGGAGGGATTTTGGGTTGAGTATCAGTTTTCTTAACTGTTTACGACATGATTCTAAGGTGTAATTTTTCAAGTAATCACAAACCAGACTCCAGCAAACTCTGATTCAATTAACGCAGTCGAAAGTAATCGCACTACTGAAACAAGACTAACACATAACAAAAGTGACCATACGCGTGTACGCAGAAGAATGTGGGGTATAAGGTGACGGCCATACCGCTATGTTAAAAGATAGAACGTATGAAATGCCAAACACATTGTCTTCCCAACCAGTATAAGCTTACTGTTTATAACCAAGCATTCAGATTCGAATTCGTGCTATTCTTTTGAAATAGAAAGATAAAACGATGAGAAATACTAGTTGACACCGTGTTGCTTTATCAATCGAACTCGCACAGCGACCCCCAATTTACAACGAAATCGTGAAATAATGGTCTAACACTTGCTCTATTATTTCCATGAAGTGGGAACCCTTGGTTACTGTAACGAATTGTTGACCAGTGTTTAAGATGATGAAAGAAAGAATTATGCCTATTTTCTTTTTGGTCTAACCTAAAAGTGTGCTTACGCTCCCTGCTGCTAAAGTTGCACTCAATCATTCCTTCACAATGTATTTGCTCTCAAAGCCTAACGTGTCATCATGGGCGACTCTATAAAGAAAAGTACGAGGGTTGACGAACAGTAAGGAATGAGAGAAGCAATTTACGAAATTTCTTCATAGACGTAAAGCACTACACCTGAGCAGATACAGCGCCTCCAAAAATAGACTTTTTTTTTTTGACGTAAACCACAAATAATCCTTGGAATATTAGATAAAGTGGAAATGGATGTTATATTAGTTTATTTATTTGTATTTGGTATTCCCGGCGCTGTGTAGTGATAAAAGCTGACAATGCAAACATCATTCCGTAAGTCATAAAATATGACACTAAACTAACCAAGATGGAAGGAAGAAAGTTTGTAGTCTCGATCGGCGATGAAGTTTGCGGCGGTTTGCTAGAGGGATTATTGTACGAGTCTACGACAATAATTATAGATCATTGCACGAGTTAGTCGATCGTTTGGTATGACCATGGTTATCTTTAGACGACACACACCTCCTCGTAAGCATGTTTTGTTAACCAGCTGTTCACGAAAGAGTCACTCTGGTAAATCGTCTTCTAGATCGTCCTCTAACGCGCTAATTCTTGGCGGTAACTCGTCGTTCTCCTCTAGTACATGACGTTTAGCAAGCCGAGGTAATATTGTATCGAAGACACGCTCTTCACGAAGAAGGTTATCGATAAATTCATCCATACATATTATGTCAAAGTCACCACCTACGATAAAGCGAGTGAAATCAATGTTACTACTGGAATGCGAAGAGAACATATAAATGAATAATCCGTTTTCGGAACGTCCAAGCATACTTGGTAAACGCTGGCGCATTTTCCTGTAGTCATTTAACAGTGGCTCCAGATACTGATAAATTTCCAAACTAGTTCCAGCTAGTCTCAAGTAAAATACACCCAGCGCTCGTAAATACCTAAAGAAAATGAACGTGGTTCAATTAGCTCACTTTCAGATTTTAATCACACCACCCTTGTCCCAAGCCTCTTACTTGTAGTCTTCTTGTCGGATAAACTCTATAATAATCTCCTTTGCCGGTTGCAGTTGAAGTAATTTTAAAACTAGAGCGAGAAATTCCGTTGGTCTCTGGTTACCGTACTGTCCACCGATAGACGTCAGCTCGATCGCACGATCGATTACGGTTTCGGCTGCATTTGTTTAGAAGACAAGAGTATCGTGTGAGCTTAAGACTGTTTAGAAGGAGGGTAGTTTGTATAATAAGGGGTTGGTAGACAGCTAAATCACAGGACACGGTAAACTGAAATAACATATACCGGTCAAACCAAAACAAGATTCCTTCCAGTAAAGTGATTCGTATATGCGAGTTCTTATAATCTTCTCAATTAGATACTGTGGGTTTGTTCCATGTACTGCGATCGCGTCTGAAACCGTTCTGTTCGCCATGGTAAAAATTCGCAGGCAAAAGATTCTGTTTGCCCGTTCGATTTTATTCTACGACATTCCCTGCTATTACCATATATGGTAAGAATGCAAGTGGATCGCTTTCTTCAAAGTAAACCGTCGCAAATCACTTAATTTACTTCTTCAAATGCTCCTCCACATAGCCAAATTTCAATCAACTTCTAGTTTTTCCTCGATTCACTTGTCAACCCTCTCTTCTCGTTTTCGTTGTTCGCGAACTTTTTCTCTTGCGTCTCTCCGTTCTCGTCCTGCCCTCCATTTCTACTCTACTTCGACCAAAAAGCCTTCGTTATTTTCAAAATACTATGATCAATTTCGTTCCAAGCCTTCGTCTTATGTCATTTCCTTTCTTCTCCTTCATGAAATAACAGCCATTGTTCCCATTCCGCTAGTCTATCTTGCTCTGGACTATACGGGAATACAAGTGCCTTTACCAGAGAACATGCTACAGGAAGGGAACAAGAGGATAAATGCCATGTTAAGGTATTTTGGATTCAGCGAAGTTGAACAGGGTAGCAGAGTTGCTTTTCTGGCTGCCAGCAGCTATGGCATTGTCAAGGTATGCATTGAAAGATTATGGGCAATATTTCGGAAAAGATTGCTGAGATTATTTTCTCCCAGATGCTGATGCCGCTGAGAATCGCGATGTGTGTATACCTGACTCCATTCACGGCAGAGCGTATAATGGGACCGGCTTTAAATTTCTCGAAACGTCTACTTAGATTCAAGCCTAATCGAAAATCCGCAGATTGAACTGTCTTTATTTTTCTATCGTGGCTGGGTAAGCAATTAAACATCACAATCTCTTATTCTCTTCGCCTATCCTTTCACTTATAACTTTTCAAATTCTATCTTGACTATTTATGCTTCCATCTTTCCGAATAAGTCTTTAACATTCTTTCGAAGAGCTTTATCCATGACATCACAAATCTCTCTGCAACCTGCTTTTGCTAACTGAGCAACAGCCTGGAGTTTTTTCAGGCTTAGTCTAGATTCGCTCTGTTTATTGGGAACGACGAGAACGATGTGATGGGAAAAGGGGAGTAGGTTAGTAAAAGATTCGGGAGCCTCATCAAGGAGATTATAGAACTTTACACAATACTATTTAACCGGAATAAATTTGGTAACAATATTCTTGAGCAACAATATTTTTACCTGCAACAGAGTGACTTTTCCGGATTCGGCAAGAATAGCCACAGTAACTTCTGGACTATTTGATGACTCTTCAATCAAATTCAAATCTACAGGATTATCCTGCGACATGAGCTTATCGTCATATGCTCTTGAAACCAATTATCGACAAATATCCCAATCACCGTCCGCAAACTCAGACTGATCTTTCAAGTCTCTTACCAAGTATGGGCACTTGTTGAATTACCCCAGCAGTACAAGCACAGACATAGTCATTCATGGGAATACCTGCATCTACAAGTGCCATCGTTGTCGCGTTGATGCATATTTGAACAGTACCTATTGTGAAGCAGGCAATGAGATAAAAAAATGAAATATAAGGCTTTTTGCGACTTTGCTTCTTTACGCGAATGGTCAAGAGAATTACCTCCGTCGAATTGAAGTATTTGTAGAAAAATATCAATCTGAGACCTTGGAAAGGAAGACGTTTGAATTACCGGTTCAAATGTTTGTTTTACAAATGAAGCTATCTCCAAGAGACGCCTAAAATATAAAGTGAGTGACGGAAGAATAGACGAGGCTGTTGAATAAATGTAGGATAAAGAGAAATGACATAACCAAACTAAACAGAAACCTGCCAAATTGCGAATAAACGCGTACTTATCAGATTTACCCCACTTTTTTCTCTCACTGGTAGCAAAAGGAGCAAAGCTGACTCCAACGGATATGTTAGCTCTATTATGCAATATTGCTGATTTCTGTCTAGGCTGTTCGGTTTTGGCAAAAGAAATTTACTACATTACTTCTTTACTATTCATATTATTATTAGTATCGCTTATCAACACCATTACCACTATTATTTTCATATTGAATCGTCCTAGTCCAACTACAATTGTTTCCTCTCTTTCCTCTTACTTCACGTGGTCCATAAACGGCAGCGAGACATTTAGTATTCCCTTGTTCAATGTATGCTGATCCGTCTGCTTGTGACAAGACTGAAGGTTTGCAGGAGATTCTCCTTATCTCTGTTGCCCTTCGACCATCTATTCTTAAACCTATTCATAGAGCATGTAAGGTACATGGTGTGGAATGCTAAGTAGAAAGAAATCTAAATGTGCTAAAGTTTGCAGGGACAGTCGGCACTGTGCGGCAACCTTCACGACGGCGCTGTCATTCGTTGGCAATACCTGCGGGATTGAGCAGTTCCTGTCGCGACTAGGAAAAGTTGGCTATGAAAATCCGTTTTTAATGAGCAGTCAAAAATACAGAACAATGGAGCTTACCATCTGTCAAACTCTAATGTTCTTTTTGTTTTTATATGGACTTTCTCTTGGATTGCTTGGCTAGATTCGTCAATCGTCTTTCGAGGTTTTGTTCGATCTTTTTTATAATTCTCTGTCCTCGTGACGTGTACTACTCGAACACGGAAGAATAATTATCGTCTCGAAATAAACCAATAAGACAGCAGTATGTAAATGTAATAGTAAGGGAAAGAATCTGTTTTGTATTCCTTCTTAAATAATGCGAGATATGATACATAGAGAAGCATGACTAATATCAAATTTACTCCTAAGCGTGATGCTTCACCTCTTAGTAGCAGAAACTATTGCAACAAGCAATCTATACATTATAACACTTTTTTTACACTGCTGACAATGTCGCAATATGTCTCATTATCAAACAAGTTGCCAATTCCCTGCAATATAAATGAGCGGTTGTAAATTTGGGACTTTCCCAATGGATGCTTCAAGCTGTACATACAAATTTTATAAACAATGTATGAGTAATATGCAATTAATTACAGATCGAGTGATTCATTAGCATCTTTCTTGAGCAGTTC